TGGACAAAGCGCATATAGCCCATTGTGCGGGTTTTCGTTAGAACAAACTATCAGCTACTAAGCATGATATATAATTTTTAAAACGTGAGCTACAAAGACAAACTGAGAGATTTCCTTTAGTTCTATCTGTAGTGTAAAAAAACTCAAAATGTAAGAAATTTTGAAGAGTTTATTTCAGTGGTAAAAAATGAACAATATTGAAATCGAACTTGTATGTTGGAGAACAAAGTTTAGGCTTTAAAAATTCTGATCTAGAATTATTATTCAGCAAAACTGATATATCTGTTCCAATTGTAAACTTGTGGAAATGTTTATTTGTTAACTTGGTGTGTACAGTTTTTTGTGTTTTTTTAATTATTTAAATTGTCTATCTCATAGATACACGTGTATGATATTTTGGTTTTGGTATTATTGCTTTGATGGATGGAAGGGTTACATCAATGGGTCAAATGATCTTTTGTCACATTTATAGTCCCCAGTGGGACAGCAGTAAGTTTGTGAACTTACTACACTAAAATCTGGGGTTTGATTCCCCACAGTGGACACAGCAGATAACCCAATGTGGCTTTGTTCATACTCCATAACTTATTTAAGTATTTGAGACTTATAAGGCACCTGTTCAGTGAAAGTGTGGTTTTCTTGGGGCATCCCTTCCCACATAAAACTATTTAGCATTCAATTAATCGATTCACGCCACAAATTATCAGTAGTATATTTGTTGATCCTTTTCTGTTTAACTCGCAAATTATTCTACGAGCCGGGCGAAGGGAAGCTCTGTAAATTCCAAGCACTCTGTGTCTTCATACCCAAATACCTACCATTATGAAATAGGCCTCAGAGGATCAAACTCGACTCGCTGTGATGTTAGACCAGTATTAAAGCGATCAGCTCATCAGTTACTATTAAATAGAAATTTTTCGTTAATTTATCACTAAGCACGGTAGTGCTTAGCATGTAGGGATGGGCCGAGAAAACAAAATGGCTACAGCATTCAATCTATTACTATATGATGCTTACAAATAACTGCTAAAGTTATAGCCTTATTTGAGCACCTAACTGCCATTATCGAATGTTTCACAGCTTGTATAACAATAATATTATTCTGTTCTTCTACCACACGTATTTTTGTGAGGAAATAATAAAAGAAAAACGACTACTTAGCAGTGAATTCAGTTTATAAGCATATATTATTTCCATGTTTCATAAAAAACAGTTTCATTTCTGGTCGCTAAATGACAGCACAAATTGTTCTTATATAACGACTGTGATTGTTCATTGCACGAACATGATATGTGCCAAAACAATTTCAGAAAAAAGAAAGAAAGAATAACCCAAATTAATATTCAAGGTATCAAAGATATCAAGTATTTATGCAATTGACAGATCTGTGTATATATTATTAATGTCTGAGTTTAAAAACACCAGTTTCTTAATTATCAAAACAATACATTATATAGTGATCTACTTTTCTTCAAATATTTATGTGGGGTACCATACTTCCTGGACTGAGATATGTATGATGTCCTCACTATTAATCGATATAAACATATGGTGGAATTGATTGTATGTACATGCAGCGAGTTGGGGTGAAGTTGGAAGGCGTGGGTTCTGTAAATACCTCCTTAACGTCAGTCAAATGCTCCGGGTACTTGTACCATTCTGGAAGAACTATTCCAGCTTTACTGGCCCCCAATGTAACAAAAAATTAGAGAAACTGATATGATATTAACAACATATATTACCATTGAATTATAGAAATAAAACAAATGTTCACTTATTAACTTACTTCAACGAAAGTTATGTTTTTTTTAAAGAGGGAAACAAGTAGTGAAATGTTTTGTAAAAATTAAGTATGATGTAGGAATGGCAATGCCAAAAAGTACAGAAACAAGATAAGGATGAAAAAAACCATATAAAGAAGCCAGTAAATACTGAGTCAAGCTTATGGTTATTAGCTACTGTAAGACTGTATAGCACTATACAGTTTAAATGTTTTTATTCAAACTTGAATTCATGCAACTTACAAGAATCCAACATTTAACTATAGATAAAAGTTATTCTTGGAAAGATTTGGCTACTTATGTAGTGATTTTTGTATGGTTTTATGTATTCATTCCTATCTTGTTTCTGTACTTTTTGGCATTACCATCTCTGTAGCATACTTAAGTTTTGCAAAAAATGTTTTTATTACTTCTAACGTACTTTTCATCAGAAGCTTTTAATAGTTATACTTTAGGAATAAGTGATTCACATGAGGTCTTTTCTTTGTCTTTTAGCCTAGAAAGTTGAACACGTTTTGTTCACTAAAATAAAATATTCCAATTACACACGTTCAACCAGCTATGAAGTACACAGATCTAGCTTGGATCTTTCCTACACGGTATTCCTAAACACTTTCATAGAATGTGTCACTGGAGAACTATTCTTTATTCTAACAATCTTGCGTTATTCTGTAACATCGGTTTATAGAAGCTTAGAAATTCTTGGAGGCCATAACCTTCCTATTTATGTGATGACGAAGTGGCATTAGTAATAAATGCAATTTGGAAGAGTTGACCCTGTTCGTAAGAATAAAGTGATTTGTTCTACCAGAGCTCTCTTCTATGTCAAGTGATGGCCCGCTTTTTTATGCACTCATCCAGCCTTAAGTTTTATTATTTTCATACAAATAAAATGTCTATTACTCATAGTATTTTACGTTGTGTCCAGTCTCTTTTCTTTTGGTCAGAAGTTCAGTTTAACTATCTGCATTCTATTTTATTTTGATTTACTTGGGGGGGGGGGGGGTATAAGGGAAAAAGTCGACTGAAGAAATTCCAAAAGTGGTTTGACTGAAACGTCATGCTAAAAAAAAAAAAAGACAGCAGAAAAATAATAAAGACAGAAGGAATAATCTCAAACTACGGAATTATTTTAACTTTTTGTTTACTAGTTATTCGAATATCGAATTTATTAGTACTGTTGTAACGTCTTTCTTCCGTTGGTGGGTTCTTTTAGAATATCTGGTGCAAATAATTCAAAACTCAGTCCACATAACGATAACAATTTCGATTATTTCTTCCTTAACAATCCTACAACCTGCCTTCACTTGCATACAGTTGTAACTTGTAAGCTGAAGTAACTTTACAAATGACCTTCAAAGGGAAATATCTCGATTTATTAAAAAAAATAACCTTACTTATACAACTTTACAGCTAATCAATCAAGTAACTGAAAACAAAACATTGACAAAAACAGTCCCAGACTGAAAATCTCTATCTATGATTCACTCTGGAAGCTTACTTAACTTATTAACTAGCTTACTCGTATTTGTATCTACTCTATGTTCAAGATATTTCTCAAAGTCACTAAATTTTCGAGACAACTTTGTATATTCTAGGCCCACTTTTACAAACTTACATGATCTTAACGTCATGCGCCCTCTAGCAAGCATCTAAATCACACAATATAAAAAATATAACTTATTTAAAGTATTTTCGTAATTTCACTGCGTCAATATAATGTTTATTTTATCGGTCTTTAATCTACTGGAACATCACAGCTTTTATTTATTTATTTCCTTACTATAATGCCCTCCAGTAGCACAGCGGTATGTCTGCGGACTTACAACGCTGGAATCAGGGTTTCGATACCCGTTGTGGGTAGAGCACAGATAGCCCATTGTGTAGCTTTGTGCTCAATTACAAACAAACAAACCTTACTATAATAATTATTTTCATGCTGTATGAATGAAAATAATATTATAAAACCACGTATTTTGGCGCACAGTTATAAATATACTCTGCCAGGGGGCATGGCATCCCACAACAATATCTGATAAAATTTCCACTGGTTTATTAGGGTACATTTAATTAAGGCAAAGGTAGAGTTAGACTAAAAAGTATGGAGATCATGACAGTATGATGATTCAATGCATTGTAAACATCATAAGTTTTTGTATGTATGGTGTTTGAGATATTTTTTACTCACCACAAATATCTATATAGGACTTCAACAAAATGTAGCATTGATGCTACTAATGTATGAGTATGATTTATTCAGCCGACAAGCTGATTAAAAACACTAAAAAGTAATGTGAGGCCCAATCTATCATTCGATTTATCATACTAATATAGAATCATTGCGGTGAGTAAAAGACATCTTAAAAGACCAAATGTATAACATACACTACCACTATATGAAGCCTAATTTTATTCTTTCGTTTCCCCTTCTCCAGGTTTACTGACGAAGAGTCAAATTCTCCGAAACCTGTATAAATCAGTGACAAATATCAAACTGAATGATAAATTGACTTTCAATTTTTGTTCGTTTATTTGTTTGTAAGTTTTTGTTTTATGACTTTGCATACATATTGTTAAACGGTATGTTAATTTAGTTACATTGTTTACTAGGTTAATTTCTAGTTCTCATCTATGTAGGAGGTAGCTTGCTTTGATTAGATGTTAATTACACAAACGTTTATACGTAATCGATCAATGTGGTTGATATATTATACATATTAGTCTTTGCTTTCACACACAAGTGCTCAGTTACTAATGTAGTTTCCCCTGTTGCTGCTTGACCTGCTCCACGAACAAGACTGCATTGACTATCTTGTTTTTCGCCAGTTCTTTTGAATGATAATAAAGTTAATTCAAATAAAATACTGTTGTTAATAATATAATAAAAGTCCAATGTTAAAAATAACAAAGAAATATATATCCTACAGTCTGACTTATAAATCACTTAAATAAAACTGATAATAATTAAAATTCACTTAATTTAGTTCACATAAGTCGTTGTTCAAGAAAATTGATAATACATATACATATATTGTAAATTTATTTTACGCTTGACAAACGTAAAATAACTGATTTAGAATTTAAATAGAAAAACATTCCAAGCAAATATATAATACAAGGTACTAAATATCGTCAGAATAACGACACAGTGAAAAACAACTGCAACGAAATTTCCTATAGATAGTATACACGTATTCCATTGAAGGATTTGGTACTTACCAAATTATTTTTAGCAAACCAGCCTGGCGTCGCCGTTGAAACTCGATGAGATGGAACTTTGGCCTTTGGCAACTAGGTTTGATCAGCCGATAGCGTAACAATAACAAGTTAATTTCTGTTGGAAGTCAAATAATACTTAGGCCTAATTATCTTATCAGTGACACGACATAAAAATATAATTTTTGTTTAAAAAATATAAGAAAGAAAGTGTTTAAGTAAAATACAAAAGATGAAGCATATAACAAAATATCTTAATATAGCATGTTTTACTACCACCTTGCACGTTCAATCACCCTACCTAAATAAGCACATATATGTATTTACCTTTAGGTGGCGCTTTTGCAAATATTATAATAAATATTTACGCTGGTCGGCAAATGACTAATATAGCGATTGTTTATTGTTGTTGTTTTTTTTGGGGGGGGGGCAAAAAACACTCATTAAATTCTGATTAGATGAGTTATTATAAACACGTTGATTTGGGACAGTAAAACAATCATGTGACACATATAACTATCGTTAATTAGGGATGTAAGATTTTCTAATGATCTTTCTAAAGAATAAGCTATAACTGATTGTCAAATCCATAAAAGATTGTTTCCTTGAAAGTTAAAGAAATTATGTAAAGCCCAGAAAAGAAAATTAAACGCAATTCAGGAACAAATATCAAACAGTTTTAACAAATAACGCAAAGATGCTGTCGATCATAAAATGTTCCAGGTTTGGTTTTGAAAAACAAAATGTATATAGTTTTATGAATATTATTATTATTAAGTTGATTGATTATGTCGTTGTATGAAATATAAATTATGCCTTTTTTTTCATTTCACACACACACAAAACACTAATTTAAAAGTAGAAAAGTTACCAAAATCTTAATAAATCCTGAGTAGGAGACGAAAAAATCGTGTATTTATCGTATTTTTGTTTGTTTTTTGTTAAGCGCAAAACTACACGTTGGGTCATCTATTCTCTAGTTACTGTGGGTATAGAAACCCGATTTTTAGCGTTCTAAGCCTTCAAACTTGCCGCTTAGGCTCGAATTAGCAAAAAAAAAAAAAACAAACAACAACCAATGACAAAATACTGCATACGATAAAAATCTTTATTATCTTTTACTGTGATCATTATTCAAGCTTAGAAATAGACCATTTTCGATGAGCTTCTTCAAACTTGTACAAATAATTCTAATTTTTGTTGTTGTTGTTTATTTATAGCTGTTTACTAATAAGATTTTCACTCCAATGAATCCAACAAAAATACCACTAGTCTTTCAGTTTGGTTTGAATTTCGCTCAAAGCTACACGAAGGCTATCTGCGTTAGCCGTCTCTAATTTAGCAGTGTAAGACAGAGAGTCATCACCACCCACCGCGAACTCTTGGGCTATTCTTTTACCAACGAATAGTGGGATTAACTGTTACATTATAACGCCCCCACGGCTAAAAGGGTGTGACTGAAATTCGAACCCGCGAGCCTCAAACTAGGAGTCGAGCTCCCTTACCACCTGGCCATGCCGGCCTTAGTCTTTCAGCCTTGTTAAAGAAAGTTACATAAAACATAGGATAGTCAGTTGCTAGCAGTTTAATCGGTATAGTACAATTTTTACTCTAGGAAATAGAAATACTACCGATTATCCATTATCATCTGTTGAATATGTTTTCTTTGGACTTGGTCTCGATGATACAATTTCTGTTGCATTATTCATTGTCCTGTCTTTGTTATAGAACAAACATTCAATCTCAAAATAATAATTGAATATTTTATCGCGAAAAATATAAATTATTGTTTCGTTTTGAAGTAGATGTTTGGAAAAAAGTATTGTTTTATCTTTCAGTTCCTGAAGAGCGTTACTACATGCTTGAGTCGGCGCCAAGCCTTGTGCGGTATGCAAAGCATATCTTGTGTTTCCTGTCTTCTTTAGTTTAGTAAGAAGACCGTTTCACATTCACCTATAATTTTTCGCACATACACCTTTCCAGCTGTATCTATGTAGTTTTAACAAGAAAACATTATGAATTCTTTCGCACATACACCTTTCCAGCTGTATCTGTGTTGTTTTAACAAGAAAACATTATGAATTCTTTCGCTTTAGCTGCCTATTATTCTGAGTCATTTACTATGGTGTAACTTGCGGTTTCTCCTGGAAGAGGTGATACTTAGAGGCTGTATATCCTCCTATATTTCTTCTATCGATATGACCATGATGATGTGGGTAACATTTGTGCCCTGAGAGGGGTGGGAATATAGAATATTGTATATAATGCTATTTTTTCTTAGTCTATAATAAATAAAGTAACCAGTAAAATATACAAGTAAGTCTTAACCTGGAACAAAACCCAGAGCCCGATCTCACATTAAATGCTATCTTCCAGTGCATTCATTTGCCATTGACAGTTATTGTCAATGAAGATAACTTTTCTTTTTGCTTTTACATTGTATTTGATCTCTTTCTCCAAAATCTTCAGAGAGTTATTCACGATGTGTTTCCCTTCTTTTCTTTTTATTTTATTTTAGTTATAAGTTTGATGCAAAGGAAGAGACTGAACACAAGTTAAACACAGTGAAGCAATCTATATTAACAACAAACAATCCAATCAAAACTTAAAAGACAAGTGTATAGTTTGGTGCCCTTACTGTATTTGTCTCTGTGATATCTTAGCATCTTTATATCTATCTTATCCCAGACTAAGAAAACATTATATAGAAAAAAAAACAATGTCATTTTTTTCTCTGGCCACAGTAGATACCCACGTGACTAACGATTGCTCTCACCACAAAACAAGGGATGATGTATCGCATGAGCACCACATGGCTTGCCAGTGAAAAATATCATTGTCAGTTTCTATTTCTATACAGTATGCACTATGTTACAGCAATCCTCAGTGACGTAGTGAGGACGCACACATTGACAGCGCAATGACAAACTCAAAGGGCGCGAGTACATTGTAATCCTTTTCAGTTTTCGTTATAAATTTTTGTTATTAATTCATAAGCGAATTCACTCATGAAAAAATCTTTGTTTATAAATTTGTATCATTTATTGATGTTCCTTATTAATTCATAAGCGAATTCACTCATGAAAAAATCTTTGATATACGACAACAAGAGCTTAAGTTAGGTATGAACTGGTAGGTTAATCAAAACAAAAAGCACGAGTCAGTCTCAGGCAAAGTTGATTGGACCCTTGTAATTAATTAAAGCAATGTAAACCAAGTCCAAATTTTGTTATTAAAACAACAGTAATCATCTATTCTGAATATAATTGAAGTCTCTCAATATCTTATGCTTCCCATCAACACTCTGACACATATCATCATGGATGCACTTCTCAAACCCGATGAGGATCAAGTTCGCCAGTCTTTCATGAGACATCGACTGACATAGGTCTGTAAGCACATTTGTCAGAGCAGAAAAAAACTCTTTCACAAGTTGCAGTTGAGGATCCAATTGTTAATGCTGCCTCATACAGTTCTGTAATGGCTGGAAAGCCCTTCGATTTCAAATGAAAAAGCTGTTGCAAGACAGACACCAGGTTATGTTTGTCGTTTTTCCTCCAGTTGTCACTGATGTATTTTTTGGCAACATCAATTTGAGCCAAAACAAAGCTGTCCATTTCAAAGCCGATCAAGTCTGCGAGAAATCCCATTCGGTCTTTGTCAAAGAAATGTTCTGATTCGGGATCTAGTGACTCCATAGCACGAATACGATGCGAATTTTTCTCCGAGAAACGTTCATCAAGCTCAGCCAGGATACTGTCAATTAGACAGAACCTTGATAGTTTGAGGTTATCATTTTCTGACAAATTGGTGTTATCTCTGTGCAGATGGTCAACAATGTATTCTTTGAAACCAGAGTTTTCACGACGTCTTCTCTTTTCTGCAAGCTGATGGTCTTGTACAGTTACACTGTTATCATCACCTGCAGTATTTTGCAGAATCAGCTTAACATCATCCAGCAAAGTGGTAAATGTTTCATTGGTTCTCAACAAAGCAATGGATGCTCCCGAAGATGATATCAGCATCAAGGTTTGCATCAGATTGATACTGCGCGATTGTAGATGAATATTGACAGGTGCTAGTATACTCAATGCTTTGTGGACAGCTACAGCATGAACAGAAAGGGTTTCTTTTTGATCAGCTTCAACAATCCGATTGCCTCCACCACTTATTCAGGTAAGAATGTGTTATTCTCATTTGTGGCAATGTCCGACAGAATCGTCAATATAGCTTTATATGATCCAGTAATGACTTTCACGGTAGCTAGGTAGCCAGTCCACCGCTTGCCCAGTGTAGTGAACAGACACAGTTGGCTTACTTATGAAGTTGTACAGGATGTTGCAAGTGACAAAAAAGGCGTCCACGACAACATCGGCAGCCGAAATCGCATGTACAACTACAAGGTGTAGCTGGTGGTTAGGTAGTGCACGTAGGGGACAGATCGGCCCAGTCTTTCCTGGAGAAATTTTTGAACACCCCCAGATCGTCCCAACATCACACTAGCTCCAGCATAGCATTGGCTAAGAACGTTTTTCAAACTGAAGCTATGATCTTGAAGTATTGCTATAATGGACTCAGTCAAGGAATGTGCATCAAAACTGGAAACTTGAATAACTGCCAGTAGATGTTCAACAATATATCCGTCTTGTAAGCACCTCACACATAAGCATAGATTTTCACGGTTGCACTTATCACGAGTTTCATCCACCTTCATTGTGTACTTCTTATCACCAACTTCATTTCTGATTCTTTGCTGGATATTTTTCGCGAGTAGACCGAGAATTTGATTATGGATTTCAGATGACATATACTTTGCATTGCGTGGAATTGAGCTTTCAATTTCTTCCAATTTCTTATATCTGCTGATGGCAAAGTTGAACAGGGTCTGAAAAACTCCGTCCTCCATACCAAGTTCACTGATATAGGCGCTTAAGGCGCTTTTCTTCCCAGCTAGAATCTGTATGATCTCGATAATTGCCCACAGACAGTAGCGATGAAACTCTAGCTGAGCATCACTGAGAAGGGTGCTGACTTCCATCTTTTTTGTAATGCGTATCTGACGTTAC